AGATTAGAAATGTGTTTAGGACATTACGTTTACTAAAACATTAGTTTTCTTAACGTTTATTTTGGTAAAACATGTATATAATTCCCAAGTTTTGGGATTTTGGCCCAAAATCAGCTCAATAGCTGATTTTGGGATTTGAAATTTGAGATTTGGGATTTGACCAAAATATGGGCAAAATTTATGGCCAAACATGAGTTTTGAAAATAAATCCCAAATTTATTTTGGCAAAACTCATGACCAAACGGGGCCTTAAAGTGAAAACAATAACAAAGATATACTTGCTTTGTAATTCATATGTTTGGTTCGTTCCCCCAAAAATCGACATAAAAAATCATGTACGAACTTCAATTAGCTCAATATCGGTTTCCACTCCGTGAAGCATTCCACTGTGCCATGCTCTTCAATCAACAGCATATAGTTAGTATGGCAGACTGGTCCATCAATTTGCAGAACCATTGCTGAGTATTTTGGTCCCTTTTAAGCAAATCAGAGAAATTTTATCTAGAGTCCTCAGCAACATGACACAAGAGACACACAAGACCTGTTGCACCAGCAACCTGCTTCCAATTTCGGGTGCCTGCACCAAAAGCAGCCCCTGCTACTACACCAGCAGTCAAAACATTAACCTGCAAAAATAAAAGCAATCTTATAACTTTTGTTGATAGTAATACCCATGGCTTATGATTAACACGAATACAATTAGTACTAAAGTGAAAAAGGTACTGTGAGAAGTATCATGTAGTCCAAGCGAATGTAGATTCTTTTGGATCAGTGCATGTTAATTATTCTTTAATTAGAACATCCAAAAGATTATGCAATTTTCATGATTTCTGTTTACGCTAAATGTTAATTTCATCCAGCAAATGGGGATTGTTTCGGTTGCTCTTATATTGGCTGCAAAAGCATTACCTCCAATTGGTCACTTATATAGAAAAGGGTTCAGAGATCATACAATCATACATAGCTATCTAAAATGCTGAGATTTCACCTATGGTTACACATGATGCTTCAGTATCTTACTTCATCAGTTTACCACGATATTTTTCTCAAGCATCTAAGTGAGCTCAGGATGTTCCTGATGACTGTCCAATGAATTTCTTGCAATTTTTGCTATTACATTTTGACACATCTACAAGGTTTTGAAACATCAGTACTTAACACGTAGTCATATTGGTCTCTAACAATATGAAACGGTAACTAAAAACTCTAGTCTCCTGTCTAAATCTATATTACACACTAAAAAGCAATGAAAAACAAAATTTATCCGAATGTCATATATATTGCATAATTACTATAACTTGACAATGGAGGAACACATTCCTATTTTTGCATCGAGATTCAAAAAAGTAGACCTTGCTGCGCTTATTAAATATGCCTACCAACTGTTTAGCCCCAAACAAACAACCTGATGTAGTTTATAATAGCAAATTTGGAAAAATCAGTGGAAGCAGCATTTCCATACAAATTCTCCTAGTTAAACAACAGTAGCATATTTTACATGTACAGCCACAAGTGGGTCAATAAAGGAGGTCCAAATTAGTGCTGTGATCTGAGAGGGTATGTCTTTTTTTTTGTTTTGTTAAGGTATGAGAGAGTATATGTTAACAAACTGACCCAATCATTTCGTCTTCTATATCTCTGAAGCCCACAGCGAGTGGAAGAAAATATTGCAGCAAAGAGTCCTATAAAAGAAAGATGGATGCTTATCAGATGATAATGACATATCTAAACCAACCATGGCATTATCCAAGAGAAAACATAGTAAAAAGAGCATAAAACAGTAGAAACTAAGGACTGATGAAAACACAAGAAAAATAATAATTGGACACAATCAAGTCTCACTATGAGCGTTCGGTACACCTTTGCAATAAAACAAGTTTAAGTTTACATAACATTATAAAAAGAAGCACACAAAATGGTGATAGTTTCAGTCTAAACAGACTTTTGTAGAAGTAGTCTAGTGTAGCATAGTCCATGGCAGTGATAGTAATTCTGCTCATTATCTTTATCGCATTTCTTATTATGCTGTGTTGCGTCATCAAATGTACAGATAACTTAACAATTTGAAATATAACATTGCCATTCCTTAGTAATATAAACTAGCTTATTTCTCCGCAGTTTCTCGGGTTCTGGTTCAGATTGTGTGGTGTTTTCAGATATGGATGTTCTTATGATACGCCATAAGCTTCTAATCTGAACAGGTCGCATCTAAGCCTTTCCTCAAGTAATAGGGCTCCGACCGACACATAATTGACTTTTTTTTTTTTTTAAAGTCCATCATCAAGATGGAGGAGTTAGGCATGACTCCAACCTGTGTATTTCAAAAATAACAATTACACGGAGGAGGACATAAACCTCAGCCTCGATTACATAGTGTAGATTGACTAAGGCCAATCTATTGTACAACTGCAAAAAATAATTTGGACAGAGAATGGAAGCAATCTCCTTACCTTTAGACATGTACATAACACCAAAAACTGCTATTACATACAAGTTTGTCACTTCTGCCCGAACCAAAATACTCTCAAGTAATAACATCATTAATTGTAAATTGGTTCCTTCTTGTTGTGAATCTGAAATTCGGAAGGCCATCTTGTTCTAACTGCAAAGAAGCTCTAACTTGTCTTGGAAGAGAAACAGCTTCATTGAAGATAATGTGTTCCTTTGTATTTTCACCCAGGTTAGCAAGTTGATCAGCTACATAGTTGCCTTCTCTAAAAGTATGCACAAAATTAAAATTACCTAGACTGGTTATCTCCCAAATCTGCTCTATAATATGTTTGATCCGCCATGGTGGCTTCATCCTTCTGTTGATAATAGAAACAATTAACAGGGAATCTGTCTCCACAATAACATTTTGAAGTCCTAAGCTATTGCACAATTTGATACCATGTAAAACCGCCTTAGCTTCAGCCATGTTATTGCTACAATGTCCATAAAATTCAGCAAAGGCTTTCACCATATCCCCAACTGGTCTCTAATAATACCTCCACCTCCAGCTGATCCAGGATTACCTTTACTGCACCCATCTACATTGAGTTTAACCCAACCTCTATCTGGTTTCTTCCACCAAACTGCTTGAGAATGGATACTATGTTGAATCTTCTCTATAGTCCTATACTTTTCTAGCCATACATGTGGAAGAGTAAGACTGGGGAATTGACAGTTAAGCATCAAAGATAAGCAATTAGAGACTTGTTGAATAATATGCCATCTTGACATGTGAATATCTTCAAATCTTGCTGAGCATCTATTCTTCCAAATCTCCCAACAGATAAGTGAAGGTAAACACTGCAGAACCATAGAGTGAACTAAGCTTCTTTCCTTAGCTAGCCACCAATTCATAAGAGTTTGCCTTATCTGATCCTTGATAAACCTAATGCCATAAGCATTGCAAAAATAGGACCATATCTGTGTTGCTATTTGACTACTACTGAAAAGGTGTGAAATGGTTTCCTCACCATGATTATTACAACAACATTTTGAGGGAATCATAATACCAAATTTCTTAATAACATTATCAGTAGGGATCCTAGCTTGTAGAAGTCTCATCATAAAGAATGAGATCTTGAATGGCATTTTTTTATGCCAGATCTTCTTACATGTCAGAGACTCCCCCTTTTTCTTCCTAATAATATCCCACGCTGACTTACAAGTAAAGACT